CAGACACAAGGAATTCCTACTGTTTCCACCCACAGCTGCTCATTCCTGTTTCTTAAGAGCACCACCTGCTTAGCTGTGCCAAAAATTATTTTTTCATACTGCAAAATATACCGGATAACTGATCCATGTTGAAAAAAATAGTAAAAAAAGTGTGGAGGGAAGGCAGAAATTAATCTAGATCTCTGATTCCCTTTGTGGAGTGTCCCCACATAGAAATTTTGTTGGGGACAGCTCACTGTAATCCAGGAGCAAAAGCAAACAGCAAGGAAAAGGAATTACTGAAGTCATCATTGCTGCCAAAGTGTCTTCATCTGCTTCATAAAACTCAGCTTCAGAATCTATACCCTTGTGCTGCTTTTTCCATATTGTGATGACCTCTAGAGGTCCCTTCCAACCTCAATCATTCCACAATTCTGTTTCCTGCAAAGTGTTAAACATCTTCCTAAAACAGACTAGCAGTGCCATCAATAAAAAGGATTCTTCTGAACTCCACTTAAAAGCTTGCATACATAACACAATAAAACAGGTTCAAGAAAAGAAAGAGGTATAATCATAGCTTAACAAGGACAGACAGAAACAGAACAACACAGTGGGGAAAACAAATTTTAAAGTGCTTTGTCTTGAAAAAATTTTCTCTCTCAATATGAAAAGTAAGTCCACTTTTTTGCCCAGCTCTTCCTGATACACCATGGTAATTACTTCTGTAAGGCTGGCTAGCTTAGTTTATAGGAACCCAAAGAATACAATTGTTGTGACCAAATGCCTTTCTAATTAAGATTTTCAGTCACATATCTCATTAAATGAATCACAAAAGCATAGGATTTTACTCTTCTTTGTCCACCCACGTTTTATTTATCCAGAATATAACTGGGCACAATGTCTATGCCTACTGATAACTTCAGCAGTATTTAAGTTCTTAGAAGACATCACTGCATGAAAAAATTATGGAAGTTTATAATTCATAAACAAGTATATTAATCACCAAGTAAAAGATACTGAGAACTGTAGAAGATACCTAAATGAGTCACTACCTTCTGAAAAGCCTTATTCAAAATTAAAATGGTTTCATATATTGTTAGTTTACTTTTGAAACCAACACCGCTGTTTATATCAGCACATACATGAAAAAATATGAAGAACCAAAGTCAGATATTTGATGTACCAGAGAAACTGGAAGTCAATCAAAATTTTACATAGAGAAAATAGACTAACAAAAATAAGTAATATATCTACCTGAAAATGTATCATTAAAATGAGCCAAACATAAGACTATGATTTTTGCTTTTGAACGTCAGGTAAATGTTTCTGTCATGATCTCTTGTCCAATTTAAAGAAAAAAAAGTAACCTGATTGAATGCATTGCCATTACCAGCTTTCGGAATGCCCAGATACTCAAATAATTTGAAAAAAATGCCATGTAAGTGATATCCAAAGTAACAGAAGATATTCAACAACATTTGTCAATGTCTTAGACACCAATATGGCTAATGAAAACCTCCAAAACTAAAATTACAGCAGCTACTATTTTACAATCATAAGTCAAAGTTCTGTGATCTCGTCTTTTTTGTGAAACAGATCATGAAGGGGGACTTCAGCACACTCTTGCTAATGAATTATGGAGACTATACTAAGTAGAGGGGAGTTCCTTTAAGCCTAAAATCAAAAAACATTATATTGTTACTTATTGTTAACACACTTATTGTTAGATGGACATTTTAAATGTATATAATCTCATATTATATGTCTTTTTCTTTGTAGAAATACCAGTGGACTAACAACTTTTTAATCAAAATATTTATGTAATTCAGTTACAGATGTAACATAAAATTACAGTAACTAAAGCAAATATCTGCATTTTTTCTTCTGACTGCTTTGTGTATAACCAAATTTGCAAGCTCATCTGCACAATCAACCAATTTACCTTGAAATTGCATGGGCCCTGCAGCCCACTAAGCAAAGCAAAATAATTTCAAAAATAAGATGTCACAAAAACATGCCAATGAATAGTGTTCTATAGAAATACTAATATCCAGTACATTGCCATTACTCTGTATAGAAATAGTTTTGCTAAGGATGCGATAGAGCATTTAGCTTATATATATTAGTTCTTAAAACCTTTTCTCTAAAATTTTGTCTCCATTATTTTTTCCGTGTATAAAACTGAAAGCATGCACTTTCAAATTAAATAATATATTTAAATTATGTAGCACTTGTGTTAAATAGAACCAAATGTATGTTATCTTTTCAGGTGCCAATCTTGCAAACTACTTTGTGTTGTAAGATCACTGAACACGCACTGATGGGTGTTGTTGCAACAATACCACCAGTGCATTACAGAAGTGGCATGCTGCCCAAAATAATACTGTCTAAAAAACATCATCACAGTACCCCAGTACTGTTTAAATAACTGGGAAACTATTCTGTTGGCAAATAGTATATAATTTAGAAGTAATAAATAATCTAACTATATTCTTGAATGTTATAAAAATTACCATCAGTGACATTGTACTGTGCATTGTTTACACATCATTTAGCATATTTGGTTTAGTAACCAACAGATCAACTGACGTTGCAGAGTATACTCTTAAAACTACCTGCAAACATCATTATTAATATTCATTACATAAAACATTATAGCCAAGTACAGATGGCACATGAGTTCAGTTACTGAAGGATTAGAAACATTTCTGACCTATAAACAGACAAATATTGTAAGGAAAAATTCAAAACAATATTTTTTCTAATTTAGCAGAATTTTTAAGAAGTAATATAATTTAATTTTCATCCATTCTCTTCAACAGAAGAACTCTAACAGAAATAATTTTGCTACCACGAAAGTTGCTAGGAAATATGAATCCTTAGCTGTAAAAGAATGCCTGCCAACTGGAACTGCTCAGGCCAGCATCACCATGTCACTTAGGGCTCTACTTCATGTCCACTGTAGCCCCATTGCAGAATGCAGTGCCAGGTCTGATGGGGAGTTTCTGTTGTCTCCCTGTGACTCACTTCCAGAGCTCCCTGTCCCTTAGCTCTTCAGGGTAAGCTGTGCACATCCTTGGTTCTTGGCTATCCTAAAATCTATCAGGAAAGTTGGTTGCTAATGCTCTGGAACTCTAGGCACGTGCCTACCTCTCTCTATCCCTTTCTCCATGCAGCTTGAAGAGACACGGTCGGGGCCAAACTACAGTCAGTGGGAGGAGCAGAAGAAGCAGCTGAAGCAAGGCCCTTAGACATTCAGAAGGTTTCTCATTTTTACTAGACCTCTGCCTTATGATGACTAGACCTTGAAACAACATACTCGCAAATATTGGGCCATCAACAAGCATCCCACAAGTGTGTGTCTCATCCTTTTTTCATTTTGGTCTCTATCTCCTTCTTTTCAACACCTGTATCTGTCTTCCCATGTAGCTTATCCAACCTTTTGTTCATCTCATTTATTTAAATTTAGGCCAAGGCTATCTGGTATCTCTGCACATAACACTGCCTACTGGAAACACATCCCATTCTTGGTTGTCCTTCTCATTATACCATTGTAAACATAATAGTGTTATTCTGTTTTACAATAAGCATATGTAATAACTTTAAGGCAAAGTAATCATTTACATCGAAGCTGCAGAAGCAACTAGGTTAGGGTTTTATTTTAGCATCTAGTTATAGCCTTGAAATACCAGAATGCTAGAAACCGACAACATATGGGAAAAGACGTTATTTGGTCTTAGCAACAAATTTGTCCTCTGTGGTACTATCTCTATAAACTTGATACGTTCTCTATTAAAAATCTAAGCTTTGTAGAGTTGATATCCTAATGACAGTTTTTGTCGTGTGTGAAATATCGCAAAACCAAAAGGATATCGAGCATTATGCCATTTTCCAGGAAGGCATCCACTTATTAAATGTAGATTAGGATTCTATTTATACGTTGTTTCATTTGTAATCTTCTTTCCAATCTCATAAAGAAAAGCCTAACCCAACATCTGACCGAATGAACCTTAATTTGTTTTTTCCTCTAACCTTAAGCTGCAAGACCAGTATGAAGACCTGTTTTATAGAAAATCTTCTTTTAAAGGGCAGGTGGTAAGGAAACAGCTTGCAGACCTCTGTATGCTCTAAAGTACCAAAACCTTAAGCATGGGAAAACTAATACTATCTCACAATAGTACTAAACCTGCTTACCTGCTTCACCTGCTTATTATATGTTAACAACTCATCTTTAGGCCGAGATTCATTTTCTGCTGCTTGAGATTCTTTCTGAACAACTGGTGTCTTCTAGGGGGGGAGAGGGCGGGGAAATCAGTGTAAGAGGTGAATGTACAATATTTTTTTTTAAAACACTTGTGCTCCCTGGCAGGTAATTCAGTACAATATTTATTATATGCAATTATTCTTCCATCATCCATGCATTTTATCAAGCACCTAGAACATTGTATCAATTTTATCTTAAGTCAAATATTTCCTCAACAGCTAACTAGATTTCCAAAAATAAATACAGTAATAGGCAAAGGACCTACAATGATTAACACTAAATAATAATATTTATAGAGATTTCTTATCAAAGATCTGGTCTGCTTCTTCTACAAATTGCACTTGTAAGAAGAAATTGCAAAATGTAAGAAACGTACATCAGAAATTTGTATCAAGAGATCTATGATCCTTTAAAGCAAATAAATCATTAATGCCTCTAAACATTAAGCAATTCCCCAAATGTATCTAAGTTTAAACATTTAAAATTTAAAACCAGTTTGAATCAAAGACATAGAATGATGGGCACATATATATGAATATAGATGAATTGCCCTAATCAGCATGGTACTTAATAAAAGCAAAATTCTTTACATCCAGCAGTTGGAGAATCAAACCCCATAAGGAATGAACAAGAGACACAAATTTTTTTAAAGGTATATTTGTGATTCATGAAGTACCAAAATGTTTTCAAGAACTATTTCGTTTCCTTCCCAGTTTTATCAGTTTAAAATATGAACTACCTATCTTAACAACTCTGCAAGCAAATAGAAGCACTATTAACTTATTATATTTTAACATTCCTAGATAATGCAGAATGTTACCAGGCTTGCTTGGTGAAAACTTGGCAGGACTTGAGATTCAGTTTTTATTTCCTCATGTTCAATTGGTGCCTGTTGTATAAGCAAGAGAAGAAAACTAGTGTCAAACAAGAATGCTAGAAAAATTATGTTATTCGTACTACCTTACAGAACAAAACAACATCAAAACAATATATATGCATAAATTAAAGTCTGGGTCTTCATTACACAAATTAGTTTGAAAGCAACATGTACATTCAGAGACAAATGATCTTAGGCTCATCTTTTGCAAACATTTACACACATGCTTAACCCTTTACTATAACTAACTTCTCCATGGAACTGCTTGTAGTAAAGAAGTTTAAAAGCTGAGTACAATTTTCAATTAATCATTTTCTCTACAGGAGAAAATTATAATTGCTCCACTAGCAGAAAAGCTACTACAAAATTTGAAGTTGTTCTTAGTTCCCAGACATCCTATTCTTTCTCAAAGGAATGCTTTAACAAGTCCCCTTTCGGTTACAATATATCCATACAAAAAAAGCAGAAATAAAACGCAGCAACAACTCTCAAAACAGATGGCAGTTTTAAGGACAGTGTGCTTTCTAAGCACCTGGTTAGCATACATATACGAAACTCAGCACACACGTACTTTACCCTTTGTGCCATATACTGGCTTGAGAAACAAAGTTTTAAAGATAACAGTAACAAACAGAAGTATCACATCTAAAACATTTCATTTTACAATACAGTTCCTTAAAACTGCTACAGAAATATTATCTATTTCTGGGGAAAATATTTCAGAGCCACAAGTTGATGCAAGAATGCTTTAAAGCTATCAGTTGAACATGTGTTAGAAACAGTTTGTCACGTCATGAAAAAAATCCTTTGCTGGCACTGCAAATGTCCATTTGCTCTTTTAATGTAAGAATCTTCCACACAGTAGAATTTTTATTCCATTGAGTGTATTGTCCACCTAGCAATCTAAAAACATTGATTTTTTTTTTTAATGCCTAGGATTTTTTTGCATTTAACTTTAATGCCACATAAGAAGCATATTCTGAACTGTAACATTTTTTTCCTTGCACATTAGAAAATGAAAAGGAAAAAAGAAGTAGTCTCCAGGCCAACACAAAGTGATAGATACATATACTACCCCAAAAATGTAGACTATAAAGCAATAAAAAGCTATGGCCTTGCAGAAGATAGTACACATTGGTGTTTTGCTTTTAACCAAAGCCTTAGTAATTTATCTACCTTTGACAGAAAAGACAGCTTAAGAAAAAAACAATTCATAGTACATATTTTTTTAATCACCATGAGAGCAAGGAACTAAGAGGAATGTAGTACCAACTCAGACTAAAAGGAACAGATTCAGCATTATCTTCAAGCTATACCAAACAACCTTCCTCTTCTCTGCAACACGTGCATATTTTCAAACATGGTGATTACCATGGACTATTAATTACTACAGTCCATCTTAGCCAACTGTAATTCTTTCCCCATGCAATTTATTATCCAATTCGTGGAATCAAAGAGACATTTTCACAAAGCCTTTCATTCAACCAGACTGGATCAACTTACGTTTCCAAATTATTGCATAATACGTAAATTACAATTTTACATATTAATTTTCCTGTTCTGTCAAAACCAACAGAATTATATGAGCAAATATTATCTTAATTTCATTTTAGACACCTGTACATGTTATATGATTGCTTTCCTTTGTTGGGTGCAGTGTTTTCTCTTTTGCCCGCTCTCCATGGGAGAATCGCAGGCACAATGCCATTGTGTTATTTTAATAAAATGATGTGTACTGTCTATATATGTACTATGGGCTGTGTGTTTGCATTAACAAAAACAAGGCCAAAGAGGTGTGGTCTAACTTCAGGAAATAAAAGTGTTGAGAACTGTGGCAACTCTTAATTCCTGTGGCCATCTGTTTTTGAGTGTTCTGCCCATTCTTGAGGAAGCTGTTTCCTGCACTGATATTTTAAACTTGTGATGGAAACTTCTACTGTGCCTTTTAAAAAAAACAGCTTTATTAGCCATTAGCCTTCCTCCTGCAGGTGTAGAAAACTATTTAGGTACCCAAGCACCTTGATAATTCATTAGAAACCATTTTAACATTTTCAGTCATTTTGGTATGTCTGTGGTATCTTTTGTAACTGAAAGACTCAATGTGAGTCCTGACATACAGAAAATTAAGATTTTGTTGTTGTTGTTTGGGTTTGGATTTTTTTTTTTATATTATTACCTCTAAATTTATCTTACTTAAATATTTTCTTCTGGTATTTCTTTGATTCCTCATTTGATAGTTACATGCTATTAAAATAAATTATTTTCCTTTCTGTTTTGACAAGAAAAGTCTCTATCACCAGTGCGGACCCTGATAAATGACAAAACAAAGTCAATCTGGATGTGTGAATATACAAATATTTTAAAGCATTCTTTTAACATGGTGAATTTATACAAATTATTTGTACACAAACATAGCTAATCACCCTGTACCCCTTTGACAAAGCTTGAAACTCTGGGAGATTACAATCTATTTGATTAAAACCAATTTGTTCTCATATTATAACAGCAGCTTACTGACCTAATGAGGATTAGTCTCCCATTTAGTTAGACTTCAGGGTAAAAAGACAGTCCTTGCCCCATAAAGCCTGTAGTGTTTTTAAGACAAGCGGAAATGATGTGGGCCTAATGATCATAAGGAACTGGAAAGTGATTGTTGATAAAATGTAACAAACCGCACAACTGGATTGTTTTTAATTAGTCACTTGCACTGGTAAATGTGAAGAAATAAACAGACAGATTTCAGAAGTCCACACATGTAAAGCATCTACCCAATATCTCTCCCTAGGCAGTTTCTTGCAACATTGTGAAAATAAAACATCTTTTTTTAAAAAAATCTAAAGTTATATGAGTTAACTGTTCCAGAAAAAAATTTTCATGTATCCAGGAGTGATAGTGTCCACCCTTGAAGACTGAGCGGCTCCCTTCAGCAAGTGGCAGGAAGTGCCATAGCCTTTACCATGATTAACCTTATTGAGCGTAGTCAATAATGTGTGTTTCCTGAATTAATAATGTATTAGCAAACTCACAATAAAAAGCATCACGGTCTTGATGGATGCTAAGACCATGAGAAGAACATTCCATAAGCCACTTGCAAGCAGAAAATAAGAAAACCAATAGGAAGAGCTAGGGTTTTCCCACTTAAAGAGAACTAAATGAAAAACTGAAGTCTCTTGTTCATTTCTATGACACTTAGAACACACCTTATAGCACCTAAAGGGAAAAAAAAAAATGAAATATTTTCAATAAGCCTCTTAAAAATACTGTTTTATCAGAAAGCAATATATGATCTGTTGCATAATTTTCATGTCAGCTGAAATATAAAGAACGTATAGAGCAAATAAGTGAGATACTGTAAAGTTATGAACAAATACTTGTTTGTATTTGCTTATAGATATAAAATAAATACAAATCTATCTTTTCTTGAATTTTAACAATAATTAGTCTCCATCAAACCACTTTTGAGAGAGTGTTAATGCATTACAGAGAAAATCTTCTCAAGGCCTCACTATTGAGATTAGCTGACAAGAGCTAGAGATGTTTTTTTAAAACTAAAGTATATTTCATGTTGGCTTCCTGCTAGTATGGTGCACTGTATAGTCCCTGTTTAATAGAAGCATTCAAATTTGATGTTATTTTTTGAGAACAAAAATGTTGTTTGTTTATGTTTTTCACAAGCTCATCCAAGGTACCAAAGAACTGATCTGCTGAAAACAATAACTAAAGATGATGAGCTGCAGGTTCACCACCAAGAAAGCTGAACATCAAGCTGAATACCAAGAAAATGCATTTCTGAAATTAATATAATCACCCTCCTATGGATATAAATCCAACATATAACTCAATAACTCAATATACTTCAGGGGTAGCAACAAGCCTCAAGACAACAAAATTACTCCAGGCATTGGAAATATTATTTTTATAATAAAAATTCTCCTTTTTAACAAAAAATGTGGTAGGAATCATTATTCATAACTGATTTCCCTCAAAGGAAACAGGGCTAAGCACTAATGTCCCACTGAGCTGGCGTTCCATTCCCCAGACAATTCTCTCTTCGATGCTCGGGGAAAAACGGCACTCAGCCCCCACAGCAATATCGTAAGCTATTAATGCTAACCTGTCATTAATGCAAGATCAAGAATAAGATAAAGCGAACAGACTTTTTTTTTTTTTAAACGAAAAACACATTTAATTCTGAGAGCTTGTTTTCATTTTAGTAGTCCTATTCTTTTCCTAGGTATTTCTGTTTCATTCAAAAGAATATATTTCTTACTTCATTAGAGAAGGCAAGCCTTGAAGCTCAGTGTAAAGTAAATAAACCATGCATAATAATAATAAAGAATTGCTAGAGTCTTCATCCTATTTATAAGGTCACTTAAGTTCAAAAGACACCTGCTGCAAATGCCTTTGATTAAAAAGAAAAATGTAATCAGCAAGGGTGTCATTCATCCTCACTAATGTCCATACGTCCATACCTAAAAAAACATTAAACAACAAATAACTGGACCAGAAAGTCATCACCAAGTTCAAATTGTCATTTTACTTTGAACCCGACTGATGTAAGTTTTAGAAATAATTAAACATCACAGTACTCCAGAGGTCAGAGACTTTCAAAGCTCAGAGCCCAGTAGCTCCCACTACAAAGAACAGAAAATCAGTTCTCTTCACTTCAAATTAAGAACATTAGGACTTGCTAGAGGCCAAACTTTTAAAATCTTACCTAGAACATAAGCCATATTTATAAAAGAGTAAGAAAAAACACACAACACAGAAAATGTTACTAATCACTAATAATTATTTTGGGAAAGTTGAACAAGAAATCATTTTCCAGATCCACGATCTTCTTTAGCCCTCTTCCCATCTGCCCTGAAGTATTTTTGTATCCAGCTGGCAAATTTCAACCAAGAAGAACAGTCACAAATTATTACATTCCTAAAATACAAGTCAGGCAATGAAGAGGGATCATCTCAATGCTGCCACACTGAGGAAAGTCTTCTCTGATTTCAACCCCAATTGAAATACACCAGAAAATATACAGAGAGGGGGAGACACTATGAATGCCTCAACCACAGAAACACCTCTCAGAAGAACAGAACAGAAGAAAATCAAATCAGAGGACATAAATCTATTGGAAATGCAGTTTCAGACTATTGCTGCTCATGGACTTACACATTGAAATTAACTCAGTTCAGGATTCTTTTTTCTCCTAACTTTTGTATTTAATCAAAAGAGAGCCAATCTCACATTAAGGGAACGTAAGGTGCTACACTTACATTCTATGAGAGATACTCTATGATCATAAAAGGTAGCATTTTGATAGTTGTGGGAAACAATGTTCTTTATCATCTCCTAAAACACAGGTTCGTATGCTTTTCATCAGTCTTCCATACTTCCTTGCAGAGGGAGTTGCTGCTGAAAAGTAGTTCACCCTCCATGGGTCTATTCATTCCACGGCATCCCTAACAAGTGCTAGCATGAATACCAAGTGTGATAGTGATTTTTGTGACATAAGTTTCAGCCCTCTTGGAACTAGAACAAAACTATCAGTCTGGCTAAGAGAGGACAAAGAGCCATCTGATAGTAAGTTACTAGTCTAGTTAACAAATGAATCAACAACCCTCTGGTGAAAATCTAGGAAAGTTTTCTGCAGCATCTACTTGATGCCTAGTATTAACAATATCTCCTCCTGTAACTGACTGAAGGGACTCTCTTACAGCTGCTTACACAATCTACCTAACTGTGACAAGAAAGAATTTGTCTTATCGAGACTTCACAAGCTAAACAATAACTAAAAGAAGCAATACTTCCAACAATATCCCAAATGCATTTAATGCACTTTTTCATCTCTCAGACTGGAATATGTCATCTTAAAAATGGGGAAGGAGAGTAAAGAAGATGTATTAAACTATAAACAGTATAATAAAAATAACACCCCAAAAGAGCTTCTGTTTTAATATATTTTGATATTGGCTCATTTTCATTTTTAAGGGACATCAAAAAAATTGGCAGAAGAAACAGTAAAGAATATTCTATGATACATTACTGTCTTTATCCATTTGTTTTGTCTGGCTTCTGTGTTGTAACACATTGTAGGAGCTGGAAAAAAAATATACAACTCTTATAAAAGTAATATTTACCCAAGAGAAAAATATTGCTCTTGTTCTGGTTCACCTACTTCCATTTTTATGTTGTAATTCTGGCCAAGAACACCCTCCAGGAGTTCTTTGATCGTCTGGTCCAAGGGAGATGGAGAAGTAGACTGCAGGGAAGCAATTATTTCATCTATAGACCTTGCAACCACTTTCACAGGCAATGCTGGTGTGGAAGTAGGCTCTTCAGGTCTGCTCTGCTGGAAGTTCTTCTCGTATATTTTTGAAGTGTCTGGTCTAGTCACATCTCTTGCCTCTTCCAACTGTTCTCGAGCAGACCTCACACTTGGCTGCTTGCTTCCTTTTCTCAGCACTCTTCCCGATTCAACATCTAAATCTTGTTGCTTTGCTTTTGAAATCACTCTGCTTCTCTTGTTACAGCTTTCCCTGGTGATTTTTCCCTTTCTTGAAATGTTTTTACTTGTATTAGAATCTGTAGAGCTAAATTCATCACTATCTTTAATCACAGTATCTATTTCTTCAGTTTTATCTCTTTTTAAATTCTGGGGATCCATCTGTAGCATACGCACTCTATCCTTTACTTTACCGACAGCTTTTGTCTTTTCTAATGTAGGGGAGCTATTAACATGAAAATTAGACCTGCAGTAACTTGGCTTCTGAGGTGGTGCTGGGTGCTTGACCATTACAATTTTTTTACTGGTACCCGCAAATGATGCTATTACTGGCAGTTTTACAACTGTACTTTCATGACTACAAGTGGCATTTTCTCTGTTAGCTTTTTCAGAGCAACTTCTCTGATTTTTGTCAGCACTGTCTTCTTCCACAGATTTATTTCTGTGAGTCATCACCCTGAGATCAGGAGTTTGTTTCTTCATGTCTCTTACTTCAGAAGATATCCTTACTTTCTGTGAACATCAGAACACCCAGTGAATTAGTTAGGAATATTTTTATTTGTATTCATGACAGGCTTATGTGGACTCTTTGACCTCTGGAGAGGACAATGTTCTTAACTGATGCAATTGATCTGGTGTTAAATCTTCCAATAAGGGCTAAATGCTCACGTTTCTAGGAACAGTAACTATTGCTTGTTTGATTTTCAGACTATCCCACTGAGATTCCCTGCATATAGTCTCATGTTCCTTAATCATATTCAGCTCTTCCACATAACTCGGTCCAAAGGGCTCATGTTTTCTAGCAATTTTCTCCTACTGTATGCAGCCTGTAAATTCAAACAGATATTAGGTTTTGTATTTCATATACCAACAGAGAACCCAATCTTGCAAAGACTACTTCATTTTGCTAAGGGCCCCACTGATTTTAACAAGACTGTTCCGAACATGTATAATTAAGCACCAACAATGGCTATTAGCATTTTACCTGAGGAAACAACTGAACCATTTCTATCTTTGGGAGCATAAATTGGGAGTCGGACAGAAACCCCGAAGAGAGAAAAAACTGAGAAAGGATACAGCTCAACGCTTTCTCAAAGTAACCACAAGAAGTTTTCCGCCTACAAAAACCAATGACCCCTCCAAGACCCAGTTCTCCCCCTCGAGCAGGCAAAGGGCCTCCCTCCCTCCCCTCAGAAAAGTACCTCACAGCCTGCCGCCGGCAGGAGAGGCACGGCACGGGGCAGCGTCCCCGCCACGCACCGACGCA